GACCGCTGGATCAGTAGTTCTGCTATAACATAGTAGAACCGCTGGATCAGTAGTTCTGCTATAACATAGTAGGACCGCTGGATCAGTAGTTGTGCTATAACATAGTAGGACCGCTGGATCAGTAGTTCTGCTATAACATAGTAGGACTGCTGGATCAGTAGTTCTGCTATAACATAGTAGGACTGCTGGATCAGAAGTTCTGCTGTAACATATTAGGACTGCTGAGTCAAGCCAGGAGCTCCCAGCGTCAAGCCCTGCAGCCGCAGAATGAACCCAAAAAAGGTTTGGGGTTCGGGGCAGACTCCATGGTGTGGATCAATCAGCATCATCGATGTTTTGTTTTACCAAGCAAGTTACTTCAGAACAAATTCTTCTTTACAATAACAGCCTGGCGAGAGGCAAAAGACCTCCTGTAGGAACGGGGGCTGGGATTAAAAAAATAATTAAAAAGGACAGACAGATGAACACAGAGAGACAATGATAAAAAGCAAAGGGAGCAGCAGAGACCTATAAGGCAACAAACCACATGAACAGGCAAGTCATAGCACAACAGACAGCACAGACTGCTGTAGTACAAAACAAGACAAAAGGACAAGGGGCAACCATACAGGACAGCATCACAGAGGACATATGCTAGCACACAATGACAGCAGCATGATCACTGGATACAAGAGAGAGTGTCAAACACCGTTCACTAGTGGACTGCATGACTCAATGTCCAGCAGAACCGAAACACCAACACGAAACACCTCCTGGACCTTACCAACAACACAGATGATCCACCAGTCCACTACCTCGAATCACAATAACACAACAAGCTATGGTATTCTCCAGGCGTACTCTTGTATATTACCCAAAGCCTTGCTGAGGAAGGTTGCGATTATGATGCGGGAACCGCATTTGCTAAAAAAAAAAAAAAAATCTTGTTTGAAATCATTACCCTGTGTGTGTGTGTGTGTGTGTGTGTGTGTGTGTGTGTGTGTGTGTGTGTGTGTGTGTGTGTGTGTGTGTGTGTGTGTGTGTGTCGGCGTGCACATACCCACTTCACGAGCGCATAAAAAGCACTCTTCCTTTTGGAAAGAGGCAGTTACAGTTGCTTTTCTTTTAAGGATAATAGTGTTTGTATCCATCTTTGTGTGTGTGTGTGTGTGTGTGTGTGTGTGTGTGTGTGTATACACTTCCAGTGCACACATGCATTTTCACTGACAGGAACCTGACATCCTAAGCACAGTGGCCTTCACTATACCATGCTTTCAATAAAAATAATGCAAATCTAAAAGCTCTCGCCGTAACAGTGAGTCATACCATGTGCTAGCTAGACGACAGCAGCTCGCGCGGTTATTTCAGAGCACCTCTTCCAGAAACCCAAATGTGCTCAATATCTTTCCACCGTAGCTCCAATTAGGGCCAGCCGGGCGGGCACATGAGTTTTTATTTATTTATTTATTTTTGTGTCTTTCTTTCTTTCTTTGTGGGGCTGAACTTTTAAGATGTCGGCGGAAAAGAACATGCTGTTTCTTGCTTTTTTGGCATGGAAATATGGCCCTCTTTGTCTTTCCTACCCAGATTCAAACAGGATTAATGTTGTCTTACACAGTGTGTCCAGAGCTAAGTCACAAGCCCCGAGATAACTGGGTTAGCTGCAGATGGAGGGCGTTAGCCTAGCCGCTGTCAGAAGAGGGACAAATCCATCGCCTAGCGTCTCTCAAAACCCATTTATTTATGACGTGTAATGACGAGAACAAAAGCACATAGACACGTCGTTATGTTTTAAAGCGGCACTTTGTGACTTTTTGCACTGTAGCCATCCATTTTGAGTTTAAATAATAAAACTCATCCATCCACAGTTCAATCCATCCAGGGATGGGTTTTCCCCTCTCTCTAAATCAATTTGGTTTGTGGTGGGGCAAAAAGTGGGAGAAAATCTAATTTTGACCCGAAAGTGGTGGCTGCAGTGGAAGAGTCATAGAGTACCGCTATAAAGAAAGTACAGGTGTAGCCTCCATTGAAACAGTTTGTATTTACTTTGTAAGAAGTGTGCAACTTCTTACAAACTTCTTACAATGGTTAAAAAATAAAAACCTGTCCTCTCTAGAGCCGTTTGTCCGTTCTGGGCTACTGTAGAAACATGGCAGTGCAACATGGTGGCCTCCATGGAAGAGGACCTGCTCCTTATGCAGATATAAAGGGCTCATTCTAAGGTAACGAAAACACAACGATTCCTATTTTCATGGAATTATACACTAATTAAAACATAATTATGAATATTATATTACCTTTCTGCCGAGTTCTGCTAGAGGCCACTAAATTGTACGCACTGCGCCTTTAAACCATGAGAACAGATACGTTCCAAACCCGGGACGTTACCAGCAACCAATCAACCACTCCGAGTGAAAAACGGCCACAAACATTGTTATTCTCTGAGTCATTCTCCTGCTCGTTATGGAAAAGCCTTGCAGGGGAAGATTACGATTATAACGCGGATACCAATTTTTATTACAGGTGAGGTGTTTTTTTTTAAATATTTGGTTAAAAGCGTCTGCTTAATCACATAATGTGATGGATTTCTGCTTACAAACAGGACCAGTAAACACTTTCTGACATCATAACCCACCGCCACGGCCGTCCAGCCCACCCGGCCCCCGGCCCCCTACCCCCGCATGCCTCATTTTACTCCCTAATGATGAGGTTTATCTCTCCGGGCCAGACACTTTTTATTCCCCTCTTGCCCTTTACGTTCCCTCAGCCCTAACCTTTTTGGCGGCGCTAAATCCCGAGCTACGATGAATATCGCCAAGTGCTCTGCCTCTCCGGCTTGCGTTTTTTCTCTCTCTCTCTCTCTCTCTCTCTCTCCTTTTTCTCTTTTGATTTTCTGCGGTAGAGCAGTTACTAATGGAGATGTGACAATTTTTCGCTTTTTCTTTTTTCTTTTCTAACTTCCAAGTAAATAAAATAAATAAACAACTCGTCTATGGCTACCGTGTTTTAGCGCACGGTTCAGCACTAAACGGTGAAGATGCCTGGCTACAGCGTCAGTTTTCTTTTAGCGTTAGACGTTGTGCTGGAGGTTCGACTAAAACAGTTGTGCTTCGCTAAGATTTTGCGATCTTAGCGAAGATTGTCACCTTGGCATCCATTGCCATGCACGCGCCTAGCTTACACACGTGGCTGATACAGGAGCACGATTTCAAGGGCTTTGGCCAACTCCATGAATCACTGTATTCGACACATGACAAATATATATATATACATGTTTCATATGTATATATTTCACATTGTGTCGACAAGAATGTGGGCAGAAATGAATAAATTCCACCATTAGGTTAAGATGATTCTAGGAGGTTTCCCCGCCCAACTGACCAATATGGCCGCTAGGTGAATATGGTCTATTGTGTGAAATCTCTCCAGCCCCCCTATGTCATTTCATAGAATACACTGGGGAAGGGGGGGAATGAAGCTTATTGGTCAATACTGGACCAATGAGAAGGAGCCTCCATTACCATGTTGTCTACCATGGCCCAACGTTAATTAGGTACAGTCAAGAAGTGTGCGTGTGTGTGTGTATGTAGTGTGTTTGTCTGCCCTTGCAATAGTGCCCTAGTGTAGCACCGCCCCTGCCCATCCCCACCCACCCTGACCCAGAACAGGTAGAGAAAGAAAAAGAACAAAAAAAAACATGCATGCATGTTAATGAAGAACGCAGGCGCTAGCGTGCCGCGGCACAGACGCAATCCGGCGGCACGCGTTCGTTCTCAGCGGTCCTTCATCACGGAACCACACCATCCCCACAGCCTCTCCTCTCCTTTAAATACCTCTAGCCAGCCACCATGAGTGGGGGTGGGGGGGGTGGGGGGGAGGGAGGGAGAGAGGGGGGTCCGGGTCGCGTTTGATTTATTGAGCCTGGCCGGGTGCCTCTCCATCTCCCGACCCGCAGCTTGTCACCAGCGTCGCTATAATTGGGAGAAGGGCATGACCCACCTAGCGGGGAAGGGGGGAGGCCGTGGTGTCTTAGGGATTTCTCTCTCTCTCTCTCTCTCTCTCTCTCTCTCTCTCTCTCTCTCTCTCTCTCTCTCTCTCACTTTCTCACTCTCTCCCTTTCCCTCTCATTACTTCTATTTCCCTCCATTTCTCCCTCTCTCCTGCCTTCCCCTCTCTTTCCCACTCCCCCTCTCACCTCCCCACCTCTCTCTCTTTCTCTCTCTCTCTCTCCATCTCTCTCTACCAGAGGTAGAAAGTAGGGCGCCCAGCCGTACCATTAATTGTTCTCCCCAAAAAACGCACAGCGCAGCAGAGTGTGTGTGCGTCTGTGCCAGGGTGAATGCGCAGCTGTGTGTTCATTTGTGCCCTGAGTGTGTGCCCTTTTGTACGCGTGTGTGTCTTTATGTGTGTCCTTTTTGTAAATGTGAAAATGTGCATCTTTGTTGTGTGTGTGTGTGTGTGTGAGTGTGTTATTTTTGTATGCATGTGTGTTAGTGTGAGTATGTGTGCATGCGTATATGTCCATGTGGGTCCCCATGTTTGTATAATTTGATGTGTGTGTTAAACCAAGTCTCTTTTGCTCCCACCCCCCCAGGAGGCGTCATCCAGCTTCGAGCAGTGGGAGAGGCTGATGAAGGGTCTGAGTTCAGGGGCCGCGACCTCAGATAGCCCCTTCACCGAGGTCATGAGCCTGGTGACCCGCATGTACAAGCAGACCGCCATCGCCAAGGTAACCACCACCATGGGATTGTATTTCACGATTTCACGATTAGTTTGCAACGTACGTTGCAAACTAATCGTGAAATGATTTGTCATTATGGAGAGGTCGTTGTGTTTCAAACTGCCACAGCGTTTCTGTAATGTGAGATGTGGCAAAACATAGTTTTCATTAGCCTAGATTATGGTATATTTACGTTTGATGTAGGATTTTACATGACTAAAACTCAATATGGCGGCGTATCGCCAACGAAAACTCCCATGATGCATTCTGATGCACAAGCCCTATTGTTGGACGAGTCGGGGGATGGTGTTGCGGTCAGGGTGTTCAGCTCCCGGCTGGAAGGTTGTGGGTTCAAACCCCATTGTTTGCCGCCTCACCTGTAGGCATCTTTGAGCAAGACCCTTACCTGCTGATTAACTACACATGCAGTAGTTTGGGTAAAAGCGCCCACCAAAGCAAAAAGGAGCGAATAGAAATGGAACATACAACATCTATACTCTACACTCCCATAAGCATGACCTCTGCCTGGCTGGCGGGCGGTCGATTGTTTCAGAGATGACCTCAATGCCAGGGTCAAACAGTGAGACACCCCCCCCCCCCTGTCTCTGCGGTTCACTCACATAGGTACCAGAGAAATAAATCAATGACTTGAGACCTCGGTGTCCTTTCAACTTCTGTGGAGTGGGTGCCTCTACATGGTCATCTTAACAGAGTAGACAATCTTCTACACGGTATATGATACTGTATGGGGGAAAAAAGTGACGTATGCGTAAATGAACAAAACCCAACTGCTATTAAGGATTTGTGGCGTGTTATTGAGATAAAAAAAAATTTAATCTCGGCTTCTTTTTGTTCGTCATCAGGAAACAATGGGCGTAATGGCGCCTCCGTGAGAGGGGCAAGACCGCCGGCGGAGGTGGTCGCCACGGTAACCAAGACTAATGGTCACTGTTGAAAGCGCTTGAAACAAAGTGGGGGTGATGGGCCGGGGGGGGGGGGGGGGGGGGGGGGGGGGGGGGGGGTGAGACGAGGTTAGCCGCAACGCGAGTGTACGCTGGCGCTGTGTGATTGTGCCGTTGGGGAATGCCGCGGTTCTGTCGTCGCCTGGAAACGTTTTTTTCTTTTTTAACAAAACGAGGTGCAGGCGGGGAATACCTTCTTTAAGGTGTATTATTACTTGTATAATTAATTAATGTATTTGTTGCTTGCTCTGCTGCCTTGTCTACTTTTCCGATGAGCATCCGTCTCCTCTATTTATTTATCGGGGGAGGTTTGCGGTAACTTGGCATCGTTGAAAGTATAGCTACTAACGTGACTACGCTAGTGTCTAGTACACATTCAGCATGTCCCTGTCCAATCAGCTTCTCTCTTTAAGAGGCCTTGTGCGTTCCACACAATTAACCTGGTGCCCCCCTACCCCCTTCCCCCCTGCCCACCCCCGAGCAGCGACGCTAACAAAGCTAGCGAAACCCGGAAATGACCACCGAACGCGATCGATCGGCAGCGAAACCCTGGACTCTGTGGACATATCTTCTCGCTGATTGGATTTCTGCTTGGTTTCTCTAGCCTAACCCACCGAGGCGTTCGTTTTGATTGCATCCAGCGAAAACGCCCCAAAAACCCACCGAAACCCGCTCAACTGAAGCGCTAAGAAAAACCAAACCAAACAAAAACTAAATATCCCTTCCACCCCCCCCCCCCCCACCCCCCCTCCTATCTCATTTCCTCTCCTGTCACGTTTTGGCGAAACCCTCCTCCAAACCTCTCTTTCTCTCAACTTGTTTCTGAGGGACAAAATGTCCACAGTACTATTGTTATTTATTTATTACTATTATTATTTTTATTTTAAAAAAAAAAAGAAATGTTCTGACAAACTCTCACACACCTACTTTGGTGGGCGTGGTGTGTGTGGCACATTACGGTGTGCGAGTGTCTGCCAGCAGGAAGTGGCTTGGGAGGTTTCACCGATCTATGTCACATTGGCTGCCAATATTTCTTGCTGCCAGGCACCCCCCCCCCCCCCTCTCTCTCTCTCTCTCGGCGTGGTGGGGGAGTATGGGGGGGTAGGGTAGGGGTGGAGGTCTGTGTCTCCAACCGCCAAGCCTCTACTCCCAACTACCCACGGAGGAGGCGCTGTGATGGCGCACTTTAAAACGGGCTTAACGGGTCGCTTCGGATGGCAGGGAGAAGTTGGTGCGCTAATTAAAGTTGGCGGAGGGAGGGAGGGAGGGAAGAAGAAAAAGGGGGAAAGTCAAGTTGTCGGCAACAAGGACAAACCAAACCCCCCTCCCCCCACCCTCCTCTTTACATACTCTCCACCCAATCACCATCAACCATCTCCACCCCCACCACCCCCTGCACATTTCTGAAAATAGCGCACAACGGGGTCGATGACAACCCAGGCGAGGAGATTCATTACTGAGCACCGCAGCTAATTATCGCCACGCCGATGTCGGGATTCACTCGCTGATGTGGCGTGTGATGGGCACGGGAGTTTTTTGGCGCGCCAATTCCCGGGCGCCAAGCGGCGAAGAGAACGTCAGCGGACGAAGAGCTTGGCGGGACCGCGTCGGCCCACTTCGGTGGCGCCGTCAGATCTCTGCACAAACTTTTCTCTTGCGGTGGCATCGGCTCCCGCTTCGACCCAGATACAGTGACGCGGGGGGGGGGTTGTGACTCCCTTGCGACAAGATTCTGGGCTCCATCCCCAAGGACGCCAGAGTAGGCTTGTGTGCGATGCGAGCCAGATGCTCCCGGTCCGGCGACGTGCAGCGTAATTACCTCATTGTGTTTTAATTTGGACGTGTGCCTCAGTGTGTTCACTTTTGGCTAAAACGTATCCTTAACCACCGATGACTACGTTTATAGATGGAGAGTCGTGAGGTCGGCTTAATGACTGATGTAACGCAGTCGGTCAGATTAAGTACAGCTCAGTCGGAAGGCAAATGCATCATGCCTCTAAAAATAGTGATGGATAACATGTATAATCATACTTTCTTTTTACTTTATTTCCCATCATTAAAAAAAGGCTCAATGAAAAATATTGACTGATTTATGGCCTGCTTGACTCAATTGTTAGCATTCAGTCCTTTTTAGAATTTCAAAAAAATCTTTTGTAGGGCAAAAGCGGGTGGCCTGACAAGCAGCAACAAAGTAATATCATCCGATTTGAAATAATTCATGATGTCTCCTGACAGTGAATTATTGACCTGCTTTTAGTATCTGCCCCCTCTCCTCTTCCACTCTGTAATTCCTGGCCATGTCGTCATATAGGAAGTTAATGTTATAAACCTAAACTTAATCATCTCTAACTTAATGCCTAAACTTAACCATCTCTAAACTAATACCTAAACTTACCATCTCTAACATCATGCCTAAACTAACCATCTCTAACCTAATACCTAAACTTAACTATCTCTAACCTAATACCTAAACTTAACCATCTCTAACCTAATACCTAAACTTAACTATCTCTAACCTAATACCTAAACTTAACCATCTCTAACCTAATTCCTCAACTTTACCATCTCTAACCTAATTCCTAAACTAACCATCTCTAACCTAATACCTAAACTAGCCATCTGTAACCTAATACCTAAACTAACCATCTCTAACCCAATTCCTAAACTTTACCATCTCTAATTCCTAAACTAACCATCTCTAACCTAATACCTAAACTAACCATCTCTAACCTAATACCTAAACTAACCATCTCTAAACTAATACCTAAACTTAACCAACAAAATTAGCAATTTATGACTTTATCTACTTAATGACTGTGACTTAATCTATGAATTTAAGTATGTTTTGTGTCTGTCTGTCCTCGTCTGTCATGTGGGACAATCCACATGTTCGTACCCCTGCATGCAACATTCTCCATTCTACTGATAAACTGCATTTTTGGACATCAACATTGGATGTTGCATTTAAAGCCGTGTTATTGTGTATTTTGTTATTAACTGAAATTGACCCGAGTTGGTTAAGTGGTACATCTATTTAATCTGCATATTGGGTATATGCTGATCTGGGACCAGCCAGGGGAGCAGCCCTACTCTGTTATTGCAGAACTTCTGGGGGGAGACGGTACAGGGCCTATGCCGGAAACCAGAAACTACAAGGGGCGGAGTTACGCCTTGTTTCCTTTTTCGTTACGGAGCTATTCTACCAAATAAAACGTTTCGATTTTAATAAGTGTATTTCTACAGTGGCCGGTCTACACATTGTTTTACAGTTTACTACTGCTGGACGAGTTTGTGTTCGCCAATTACGCAGTTACAGATCCCCGCCCCCAGCAACATGATTGGTCGAAACAAATACGAAGCGAAAGAAAGTGAAACGCCCCGTTCACCCAGAGTTGAGCTCGTCTGAAATCAGACCATCTTTAGATATGAATCTAAGTAGATCTAAGTAGACTTAGATATTAAGTCTGATTTGTGAGACTAGGTGTATGCTGTTCTAAGGGGACATGTGATACGCACATGAATCCTGTGTGTGGTTTGACTTTGTTTATTTAATATTTTTAGGTTTAGACCTGACTGACTGGCACCCCGGCACTAAAGCAAACCGTTACAGTGTGTGTGAGACCATTTACATGTGTGTGTGTGTCCAGGCAGGAGCGGTGAAGGACTACATCAAGATGATGTTGGAGACAGAGCAGATCAAGTTCCTGGTGTTCGCCCACCACCTCACCATGCTGCAGGCCTGCACCGAGGCCGTCATCGAGGCCAAGGTAACCCCACCACCCCACAAAAACAGGTGACGCTGGGACATAAAAGGAGCAGACCCACAAGGAGTGTTATGAGCGACACCTGGGTTCATCCTACGACGACGCCTTCTGTGAAAAGGGTCTGTTGATGAGGTGAATGGTCGTATGCACGGTGAAACAATGTGTTGGTTGTATCCGGTAGATTTGACCAGTGTCTTGGGTTTCTGTCAAGGTTTTCCATCTGTTTCCGTCGGAGGGAGGTACCACCTCAATTTCAGCAGGTTCATTTGCTCTGCTTGAATTATCAGCGTTGAGTTGACAAAACACAAGTTGCATACTATCATTTATAAAATCAATTACTAGCTCAGCCTGCGTTAATCAGTAGGGGTCATTCTGAAATGGTAATTTTTTACTTACTGCCAAAAACAAAAACGTACCATCATTTACAACGCTCTCCCCTGGTCCCACATTAAATTCTTTGAAGATGTTATACTCTTTTTTTTTTTTTTTACAACAATAAAAGCCCCCCTGGTTGTTTTAATATCCAATAACACTGCATGTAGGGCTAATAGTTGGATTAATGGTTTCTAGCGCTCATTCATATTTCACTTGCTGTCCGTCTGACCGACCGGAGAAAACCATAATTGGTCACATGGTGTATTTCACCCTGC